TCGTCGTGTGAGTGAGGTAACCGGAGGCCCAAAAACCCCATCCCCAGTCTCACCCATCCCCGATTCCCCCTCGATCTTTACATTCCGAATCACCAAAACGCCGGGAACGTACTTGTAACGCCTCTAATGTTTTAGGTGTCCATGGGTACGCCGATTGCTTATCATCAGGTGATCTGTCTGCTCGTTTACCAGCTTATTCCATAAAAAATGTTGGAAATGATGAATAACCCGTACCTATACCAATATTGCCGCCCAATAATAGAGATGCGGCAATAAACTTCCCGATTCAACTCTAACGACCTTGAGCAAAGCAATAGAGATCACCATCAGTATAAAAGTAATCAATAAACAGATATGAACTTCCCGATAGATTTCAGCTCCAAAAATCTTCGGCCTTGAACGTCAATAAATGAATAAAAATATCTTTCAATGTAATATGGAAAGGTCAAACTGTTCTGCATCTGGTCAAGATATTACGATTTAAAAACATTTGCTTGCGATAGTAAACATAAGCTTTTCATATGCCAAACTGCGTAGTAATGATTCATGATGCGAAACTTCCAGTGTTTTCAACATTCCTGTGTGTTTTATTTGGTTTCTGAGTTGTGTATGTGCGAATTAACTGCGTATGACATCGTATTTTGGTATTTTGTAGATCTTGCTAATGTGCGTCGTAGGTAAATGGTTTTAAAAAGAAAGCAAGTAAATACCAGATTTTTTCTTCTCCTTTTATAATATACTCATGATGCCTTTTATCCCCGAAGGGGTAGGTTAGGTAGAGTTCTACGTTACGGCACTTAATGCCACTGTGCAATGTTACACCCAACTTTCACTATTTATGTTTTGAGTCACATGTTATAGGGGGTGAGCCTATTGCCCGGACTGGGTACCAGGCACAATTCCAGACTCCGTGCTACTACTGAGATTTTTTTTAAATACCCAATAGTACTTTGCCCGACCCGGGAAACGAACCTGAGACCCCTTGCGCGGCAGTCACAATTGCGACCACTCGGCCAACGAGGCAGTCTCTTATAATATCTTCTGATTTATTTTGTTGCGGGAATAAAGACAGTTTATGTCCCTGGGACGAGCCGGATTTCAGTGTTCCGGTGTTTCATGGTAGTCTCTGCTGTAGATCCTGGCTTACAGGAGTTGCAGCGGTTTCGGGTGGTTGAGGCGGGCTTGTTCCATAAAAAATGAATCCCAGACCAGTAATGAGAATTTCTATATTATAATTAGCCTAAAACTAACTGGCCAAAGAGCATTAAATTATTTTCAAACTCTGTGTTTGATGAGTTTTGAGGGCATGATCTAAAACTGCGTCAACTACCGAACGACATACAACAGCATACCTGCCACGCGTGGTGATTACGGCAAACCCCCTTTTCAAAGGGGGTGAGGGTACTATGTTCGTCCTTGTATATTATTCTGCCTAATGATGATCACAATACTGATGCAAATTCTAAACTTGCTTTCCAAATCAATGAACTTTGGATCGATCTTCTCGAATTAAACAATTTTCAATTATAAGCATCAAATACCATTCATCAACAGCCTATGAATGTTCGCTGCTGAGCAAAGCCTTTTCTCACACGGAGAAGGTTTGAGCATTAATCACCACGCTTGCTCAATGCGGGTTGGCGATTATAAACTTATAATTAGAAATTATAAGACCAGGTTTCCTCACGATGTTTTCCTTCATCGTTTTTCAGTGGTGTCTAGATAATCTTAGACAGTACATATAACTCGGAAAAAGTCCCATTGGTACTAGCCGTTGGTAGGTTTCGAACCCGCATCCTTAAATGCATGAGAAGCGGGCGTCTTAAACCTCCAGGCCACCACGACATCAAATACCATTGAATCAGTCTAATAGAAACCAGGGCAGATTCCTAGCATTCTATCATGAATAATATTTACTATAATGGTCTTATTCACCCTATCACGTCGATAGTATTGCTAACAGTCAGTATCGTGTCTAGGTATCATTATTTACAACAAATAAATAGCAAAGTGTCGACAAGTCATTACACGAGAATCGAACACTTCATGCTTTTTGTAAAATGTATAGTGAAATATTTATTCTTATTGTATATAACGTCACGCCTTTTTATCCCCGAAGGGGTAGGCAGAGGTGCACATTATGGCACTTAATGCCACTGAACAATGTAACACCCATTTTCATTAATTATGTTTTGAGTCCCATGTAATAGGCGATGAGCCTATAGCCATGTACCGGGCTCAATTCCAGATTCCGTGCTACTACCCGAGACCCCTTGCCTGGCAGTCGCACTTGCGACCACTCGGTCAACGAGGCAGTATTGTTATTGTATTTTTGAAATTCTTAAGTCTAGATTGAGATGTGGTGATGAGAAATATATTTGTATTTTTTTTATACATATAGCTGGAGTTTTCTATGTTTGTTTGCTTGAACGTGCTCTCTCTATCTCCGGAACTAGTAGGTCCGGTTTGAATAATTGTTTTTCTCTTGGATAGTGGATTTGTCAAGGAGGGTATAGGTTATAAAACAATAGAAGAGCAGCGGATGAAATCGCACTTAAGTAGTATTGTTATAGGCTCGTCTCCTAAGACATCGTGTTTTAAATTACGAAATTAAATTGATTCTCTTGTAAAGGAAAGTTGATTATAAGGCTCAGTTACTGATTATTATAAATTAATCACCATCTACAGCCTCTTTAAGTGCACTGCTGCAGACTTACAAGGCTTTTAACGCATTAAGTGTCTTGTACCTATACCTACAAAATAATCTTAGTAATTATTAATTATCACTTTAGCTATATGTGAATGTCATAATAATTAAATTACGTGGAAGAAACCGTACGAATAATTACTTATCTCTAAAAATTAACATTACATTTCGCCATCTAGAACCATTGGCACCAAAGGTACTAAATGAAACAAAAATGGCGGCTCTTAAGTTGTTTGATATCAGGCGTGGGTGTTAGGTGTTCTTAATGACGGGTCACGATGTTTTCAAGGGTTTTTCACAGCCCATTGAGATATGAATACAAAAGAAATATAAAGACGTATGAGACTGTGGAATTTCAGAGGATTTTGTTCTTAAAATTGACCTTATTGACCTTCTATAAACCTATAAAAGTAACTATCAACCCGCATTTCACATAATAAATCACCAAGACAGTAACAAGTTTTAATTCTCAAAGTTTACTTAATATAATGACTACTTTAAATTCAATTCAACAGTTAAATCGCATTCGTTCAACGATTTGCATCGACATCTCTCTATGCATAAATTCTGCATGCATGCACGCATTGTGCACGCGATCCACAAAGTAGTACGCGCAAATACGTGATCACGCAATCCTACCAGTCGGATTCGCAATCGGAAAGTCACGTCAACTGGTTCAGGACATGAACAGTCATAATAAATACAAATCACGTAAGCCTGTTCCAAAAAGAATCACGAAAGTATTATAAAAACGTCGTTCAGAGGTAATCGTGCATCGTACATTCACCAAATTTTATGCGCATCTTTATTTAAACGATGATTCGGAACAATCGGATCGATTGGTCGGGCACGCCACCGCGATAAATTACTTTTTGCTCGAGTTTTCGAAGAAAGCGGTGCATGGTTTGCAAGCAGTCACTCGTGTGAGCACGCGGCCGCCGCTCGTCTCGCTCCCCCACTAATACGTACTCAATCGAATCACGAAACGACATCGCGCTCGTAAAACTGGCAGGTGTCCCTAAGGAGGCTCGCGATATTCCCTTGCGGGCCAAAAGTGTCTGCCTAGCAGAGAGACCGCGATCCAAATATGCTCGCAACGTTCGTAGCGCCGATCATAACCGGTCACAATTTACCAATAGACAGTTTTTCCCTCGACCAGCGTCCACTACCGACACCAAACGTCGACAAAATAATGTTGTTGTCAAACAACAAAATCGAAAAATAGTTGAGAAAGTTCCGTTCGCAGTTTCCGTTCAAACTTTATCGATACCTATGAAGTACGCGGACGAACCTAAGCCCAGGCATTCAATCTCCAAACCTCCTCAGAACGTATACAATCGACGGATCGATGTTAACAAGACTAAGCGTTGTAATCCTCCTAAACAGGTCGGCGACAACAAGAGGCTGTGTGACACTGCGGGCTGCGGGAAAGGGACAGAGAACAAATTGTTATTGCAGATCAGCGAAGCCGAACAAGTGACAGACTTTGAAAGGATTCTTAATTCTAATGCAATACTGTGCCAGCGAGTGCGCAGCCACGTGTGGCATGGATGTGCCGCACCGCAGAAGCGCTCAGCGTCTGTGTTGCCGAGGCCAAAGTCAGCCTACTCTCTCTACACCGTAAGTCAGGCCTACCACTACTTGTTTCGTCAACACGAAGAATCCTTAGAGCCGCTCATTGAACAGTACCGTCAGTCGGTCGCTGAGGAAAAGAAGCCCCCAACCAGTTTATTAGAAAAGAACTGGTTCGAAAACCTTCAGGATTTGTCAGAGTATTACGAGGACGACGAAAAATTACAAGAAGAAATTGAAACGATCACAGACCGTATAGTTGCGGAAGAAGTTAAAACTGTAGAGGAGCATTATCAAGCGGGCAAAAGGAACAAGAATTTCAACGTTAATTTGGCCGACTTGATTAGCTTGAATGTAAACGGGGAACGTTTGTCTCCAGGTCGAGAGGACCACGGCCCATCACCGGACATAGAAAAGACAGATGCGGAAAACGAGGAGGAATGGCTCGCACCGAGTATGAGCGCAAACTCCGATGATCACGATACTCAGCACGATAACAACGTGGACTGCTTGGCACAAAACTTAGATTCTGTGAAAATAGACAGTGATGCAAAAGTTCCGACGATAACATTCAGCAATTGTTGCGACGGTTACGCTAGGAGCGACCATCCGAACAATAAAGACGTTGATATTCATTTAGCCGTGCCTGCTATTGACAGCATTGATGAGGCTCGCCCTCCGATGATGTGATTAGCTTTTGTACTTCCAACAATCACACAAATAAGTAATCAACCGAAATGATTGCTTTAGAAACTGAACAATCCATCCCAAGTGAAGAGCGGATGCCTAAACCGGAACCTACTTCATCCCATCCACAAAGAACTTTAACACGGTCGAGTGCTGTCAGCCAAAAATCCGTCGAAATAATGGTTCACCCGGAAGGCTCGAATAATCCACTGCACAGATCTAAATTAGCTCCAACTAGGTCTTCCTCTGAGACGCAATCTTCTGGCAAGAAGATGCTGAATTTGAGAAAAACTAAAAACTCATCAATAGAATCGACAATGAGTCTACCAAATCAAAAGTCTTTGGAGAAGAAGCACGGTGGCCTGAGACATCAGAAGGCTGTCGTTGTGCAGGCTCATTCCGACATAACTTTAAGCACTCAGCCTTCGATGTCGGACGACAGGAAGGCGCTGAGGGAAGCATTGTACCAGGGTATCTTTCACAGGCACAGGAGGACGATCTTCGCGGTAGGTTCGTTTCTTAGGATGCTGAGGAGCAAAACGTCCAACTATGATTCTATAAGGTCGGACTCCGATGAGATATAGCACCCGTAGATCGTCTAAGTGTATTTTTAGTAAAAAAAATGGTGCCACAGACTGATTGTGCTTTGTAAGGAGAGAAAATATGTTATTAGTTTTTAAGAAAAGTTTGTTTGTACTAAAATGTTCCTAATTAGTTGTGACTGAGTTTTCGTTGACCCCGCTTGGAGGAGCAGTATACGTATAATGGTTGTTATTGCGTGTTGGAGCGCTGTTGGCCGGCGGACCGACATTGGTTTCATGATGTGAACATTTGAGGTGAATTTTATTAAATTCTCGTTACTGTCGACGCGGAGTCATATTGATTTTGAATATCGGTAAACATTTCAACGTCTCATATTTACGAACCTCGTCCATTATGTTGTCAATGTAGATTGTCACATTAATTTACCCTAATCAAATGAATTGGACGTTAAATAGTTTGCTGAAATTACGTCTCAACTTTGTGTAAACAGTTTTATTAAGAACGCAATCTCTAATAAGACAAGACAAAAACATACTTTTATTACCAAGTTATCTAATAAAATATACCTATCAACTTCAATATCGATAGCCGAAATAAAATCAAAATAAAAGAAAGTGTATGGTAATGAATAGTTGACAAGGTATAGGATCGCGTGACGCTCTGATCAAGGGCGCTCACCGACGATCACCTTGACTTTTTTCAGACGCATAAATTATATGAAAATGATTTTTTTCGTACACAATATGCCGTGAAAGTTCGCGTCGATAGCTAACAATGGATTTTATGACACTATAAACTTCACAAGGGGCAAAAATAATGGTTTAATACGATAAAAATGACGGGGTTTGTGACATTAGCGTTGTTAATTTATGAATGTTAAGCTGTGAACTTTTTAACAACAACAACTTCAGGAAGTTTAATATTACAAAGAAAAATGAAGGAATATATTTTTAATCGATGAGTTGTGTTTCAAAAATAAGAAGAAGAATGCACAAAAACAAAGCGTAGGTGACGAGAAATTTATCTGAAAATGTAATGGATGATTCATTTCATATAATGGTAAATGTAAAGCTATTCACCTTTTTATTTATAAAGGCGTCTTATTGATATCTAAAATCCACCATTCCCATGATACGACGATCAAAAACACATTAATTTTACGATACAGAATCGATGCAATAAAAGTATTCAAGATTTATTCCAGTCTTTTATTATTCTAACATGAATATCGTTTGTCGAAACCAATGTTGCTTCACGGTCAAAATGTTATAATAAGTAATGTGTACCAATTTTAAAGAAATATTTCATTGATGTTCTTATACAGTTTTTCTTCTTTAGGTTACTGTGTATCGAGTTCATGTAGTATCATTTATCACAATGTACTATGGCTGACAGTTTCCCTGAAACGCATCCTCATATTATTATGGTTTCAGACCAAAATTCTATTAAATCCTTTCACATTGTCTTTAGCCACATGTGATCACTCCAAGATCACAGTTAATCGTATCTTCACCAAACATCGTGATAAGTGATACCATACAGTTATATAACTAAAGTTATTCTTTTCCTTGTATATTTTTTTGCTATATATCATCAGATCAATGGATAGACCGATGTATAATAAGTTTAATGATCCGCTAATGGAAGTTTAATTGTTCGAGGTCTAAGTTTGATTGTCAGACGTCACTGCGTGACATGGTCTGAACACCAATTTGCTCCGATGTAGTTGATAAGCAAGCTGTTAATTGTTCGAACCCATTACAGACTAGGAAAATACATTTGCTGTTATACCCAAATATTTTTTTATTTTTGAATACTTATTCAAGTTCGAATATTTATTTAACAATTTGAATAAACATATGTGAATATATTTTGTTAATGTTTCATTTATTTCCATCTAAAATATTTCTTTAAAATAAAGTAATGCTTCAATCGAATAGAGAGCTTAGTAGATGAAAAATTCCATACATAAATACATTACTTAGAATTGTATGTTTATTTTGCAATGGTTGTTAGTGATATTATAATATATTATGTAGAAAATTAGTGGCGAAACAATGGATTGTTGAGACACATTTTTGGAACATTTTATGCACTTTTTATATATTTGTACATCCGAAATTTTGTACAACGTGTTGTTGTGAAGTAGGAGAATTATTAAATATATAAGTTTATCGATGGGTTCAGGTCTTATATTCAATTCAATGCATTTATCTGATTTATAAATCACTTCTCGAAATAAAAGCAGGTGCAGATGTATTTATTTATAGAATTAAACTCATTTATATCTACTTATTTATATCGAACCACCTTCAGAGATGAATGTTGTTTTTGACAAAACCGTTTAAGATATTTTTGGATGCTATTTGCGGACTTCTTGAATAAATACGTAAATATATACTTCCTTTAACAATGGAAATTTATTTTATGATAATAATAATTTATTTATTAAACGTTATATATCAATGTTCTTATTGAAATACATGTTTCTTTGATTAAATTATATATGCATTCAGCCAGTTACTTCGAGCAATATGTAGGTATCAATAAAGCCAAGTCCCGACTTAACTTATTTATCCCAAAGTAATTGTGTATCTATTGTAACTTGAACGGCAAGAAACTCCACTGTTGCTGAAGTTAAAAACTTCTATCAAGATACTAACTTAGAAACAAGTTTCATGAAATAACTGCTTCCAAACTTTAGTTATTTTCATTCCAATATTTGCGGATACAAATCTGGTTCTAACCTGATTGTAGAATTTTTTGTAAGTGGTATTATATTGCAAGGAATGTTGATAGGTTTTTAGTCAAAATTATTGAACTACATTTCAGAAGTGCGCATTTTCCCGTAAAGTATGTTTATGTAATATTTGTAAGCTTAATTTTCCATCACTATATTTTTAAACGCTTTTAGTTTTACTACTCATAAAACTTTATGCGTAAAATAACTACAATTATTTCAAAGAAATAATTTCATAAGAATCAAATGTTTCTTTAACAAGACGGAGATTCTATCAAAAGGAACTTTTATATACAAAGTATTGGAAAACATATGAGAATGTTACCTACGAATATCGCGGTATTTCATAAGTAGCTTAAAGCCTCTAGAGAATGCTTACACTTGCTTCATTCTGAGGGTCTTGCCTTACACAACCCCTTTTTTATATACCACCCATTGTGCTCCATTTTATCCGATATTTACCGGTAAGAACCGGTATTGTTGGGTACGATAGATCCGGATTTGACTCAAGGCTTTTCCAAAGGAGGTATTATGAGAAATTCTTCAATATTGTACAAGGTATTTGTTAAGCTTATTGAGATGTAACTTTGTGTTTGTATTTGTTATTTTATTTTGAGTTAGTGGAATGTTTATTTTTTTATTGTAGATTTATTTATTTTTATGAATAATTTATTCTGTAATAGTTTGAACAAAGTTTATGAGTGTTTTAACCAGTGTATTTTATATGCTATCTAATAGATTATGCCACAAATTATTTTTGTATTATATTATTAGAAATGAAAGTATATTTTGTGTTTCGTTAAAAACCTAGCCATCGATAAACGTATATATAAAACCCATGAAAAAATGAGCTTTGTATTAAATAAATAGCTTTTTATACTAGACCGATAGTTTAATTTTAATATTGTATCGTTTTAAGATTATTTTCGCGCTGATGTAAATATGCAGTATACATACCATATATATCGGACTGTGATAGGAGAAGAACGCTATGATATATATTATTATATTATTAGTGATATATATAATTATATATTTCTAATAATAAAATAAAAAATAATAAGTGTGGATAGTAGAAACTGTTATTTTGTAGACCTGTATGTAATACCAATCACAATTTAGTTATTTTTATTTTTATTCCTTCGATGTCTATTTTATATAATTATTAAATGTTTGTCCTAGTTTAAATGTTAACGTCACATATAATTATGAATGTAATGTTAAATAATTATTATTTGCAATATCAATGTTGTTAACAATAGTTGTTAATAAATAATAATTAATTTAATAATTAGGTTTTGCATGCACGTGCTTTGTAAAATTGGATAAATTATTGGACACGTGTTTTAGTGAATTACTTCAAAGAAATGTGTACATATGAGCCCAGTGCTTAAGATACACTTTATAAATTAGATATTATATATAATTTCAACATTTATTTTATGTTAATTTGTTACAATTAGATAAGTTAGGTAGGATAACTAATAATGTTATAAAAATGGTTTTAGTTTGTAAATTAAAATATAAATATAATTTTTAAATGTAAATGAATGATTTCGATATTATTATTATTAGTTTTATAAATTAATATTGTAGTAGTACATTCCGTGACGCAAGTTTTTTGTAGGAGAAAAAGTAAAACGTAAATAATTCTGTCCGATAATGTAAAACAGTGAAAAAAGACTGCGTTAAAGTTATTAAAAAAGAAGAATCGTTAGCCAATAAACGTATTCCGTTGTGTTCTGTAACATTTTTCATTATGTAATTACATACTGGTATTATAGTTATTGATCTTTCAATCTACCCCTATAACTTAGATAAGGTGAGATGCCCGCGCTAAGGTAAGGAAATCTGTTGGAAGTTCTAGGGCTATTTCCTTAATTAAAAATAAATTA